TGTCCCAAGTAAGTTCGACTTTCATAGAAGTTGTCATCTAGTCTTTGACGAACCGAAGACAGTAGTGACCTAGGCGACGTGCTTCTTCAAAAGGGCCGGTCCCTCTAGATTTGTCATTAGACTGTCATTAGACCTTGTGAGCTTTTTCTACGAAACGAACTTGTAAACGAGCTGGAAACCAGTCACACCTTAATGGTTGCATTACGTGTTGTCCAAGACTGTCCATTTGCTTCAGTTGCGCTTCATATCTGGAGTCGTTCCCAACCCAGGTACGCACCAGATGGCCAGACACGAACATGCCAGTAAATGTAACACTGATTACAAACAATGCTTACACAAACTGACGGCTCATTGGTTCTAGATGCCTGTACAAAACGGACCGATATTCACGTCCTTATTAGAACTGCTGACCTTTATCCCAGCCAGGTTAGTCATGCTCAGTGCAGCAGTCATTATCTGCTTGAAATATAGGCCGTTTTGATCAGGACCTTAACATAGTATATCGTCTGTATTTGGCACTACTGAGTCAGCCTTTCATTCAAGTAGGTTTTGCAGAGTTAAAACGAGTGTTAAAAGACGATGGGATTTTATTGTCACTCAAATGTCAGAACGATACTAAGCTCTCGATTATTCTGTCTAATGCGTGGAAAGCACTACCCATGAAAGCAAACACTCATATCTCTGAGCACCAACGCAGAATAAGTTTCACCTAGAATTCAGGAACTTACATTTGGGTCGCGAATAAGATTAAAAACAAATAAAATAACAATTATAGTAACAATGAATATTCTCTGTCCTAAAGGAAATAGTTGGCACATTTTTACAGGGACTTTAGACCACTTTTTCTCGATTTTGACATTCCATTTACATGGAACAGTGATACTCGGTTGCCTTTCGTTGTATTCATACGCCGAGCAGAATTTTTGTTCACTGAGTCGACTAACTGCCATTGATTCAGGGTTATGACGGATGGTACCAACTTGATCCATTGTCTAGGACTCACAGGGACGATGGCCTAAAATCCTTTTAGCCGGGATTGCTGGTCGAATACTCTTCTCTGAAATGGGCTTGTTTTAAAGTTGCCTATCGTTTTCAAATTTCCAGTGGTGTATTTGGCTTTGAGACATTGTTGATTGATCATTACACCATGCCTTTGAGTAAAGCGGATTGGTTTGTTCTGCAATGCGATGACGAAAAATGAATTGAAGATGAAACGAAATGAGCGAAGTGAAAATACTTTTATTGAGCTACTGCGAATTGCCAACTAACACTGAATTTTACAATATGAGATTAGTTCTTCTCAGGGATATGAATAGAAACGGTAACTCGTTTTGTAGAACTCATTCGCCGTTCATCCGGTTCCGTCACCATCGCCCAGATCGATACGTTTGGAGGATATTCTCAATTTCCTCTGGGTTACTGATCAGCATCCATACGAAGTCTTCGCCCATCCCTCTCTCGACCGCATCATCCAGCGCTTCTTCAAACCACGGCAAGAAATTCATGTGGTTTTCCAACCACACGATGAACCGATCCGCATTTTCGACTAGCCATCGAACAACGTCTTTGTGTTTGATCAGGAAAACGATGATATCCGGATGACGCGCCAAGAAAGTCATCACTTCGGGATGTCGATCGACGAACTCCTTGTACAACGGGTTTCTGTCCAGGAACTTCATGACGATTTGCACCACCCTCATCCGACTCTTCGACAGGTATTCCTCAAGCAAATCATCATCGTGGTCGTCGTAATCTTCATCGCTGACTGCTGCCTTCGCTAAGAACAGAAAGACCGCCAGAAGAAACACGAACTTGATCATTTTCGAAACTTTACACGTGTTTTTCCGTACCCCAATGTCATACACGCACCACACAGCCATTCACCTATATATAACTCCGGAAGGAATCATTTTCAGCAGAATTTGTGATTGATTCCATAATCTGCCCTAAGGGCACACGTTAGAGGGAGCGAAGATCAATGCGCACAACGAAACCGAGTCGTCCAACGTTGTATAGTTCACGTTGGTCGCGATTGCGCAGTTCATACAACCCGGTTGTGCACACTGCTACGATTTGCATGGAATATAGTCTTTTGCTTTGGAGGTAGATAGTGCAACGGAACGAGATGCGACAATGCCATATGCTCGATACGCCCAATCCATTTGACCTTAAGTCTGTCTGTTCTGCCTGGTTGTAGTTTGGTTATTAATGACAAAATTTTTACCATCTGTTATGACTGACCATATTGACAACTTATTAACTTCATGGCAAAAGCTTAGGTACCTAACTACCCAATACACCGCAGTTTAGGCTGCAGTAGTTACGCATTCACCATCTATTAAATTCATGTAAGATCATGCAACTGGCATGAATCAGTGGAACGTCCGCTCTGGTAACGCGTGTCACCGGAATGCTTGACTACGAGAAATTTTCTTAAAGTGATATTACGTAGCCGCAAGTCCTTCGATTATAAATATCGAGCGAAACACTTCGTCCAATAACTTATCGAATGTTTTAGGCAAAGCTATGTAAATCTGACCGACTGGCTGACTGGCTGGGTTGCCTCCTTAGCGGATTCGAACCCAGTGCCTGGAGCATATAGCCGACCTCTTGGCCATTGCACCGCCGTCAACGATTGTTGTCAACCTTCAGTGACGTTCACATCAGACAAACTACTTAACCTTATTTACCCGGGAGGTGGTTTACGCTGGCTCTTGGTTACATTGAACTTTCCTCCGCAAGGTTGATGATGCCGTAGTTCGAGAAATCATGGCACACTCCACACACATGGCAGGTTATGGTTAAACCTCCGTGTGACTTCGACCTCGTGGCTTAACATGTTCTTCATGTAGCTCTTGTTCGCGCTTTCTGATGACTGCAATGACTGTTGTCCTCAGGTTTCAACACGAAAAGAGCAGAGGGAGAAAATCTTCAATCCTCAGCCGTAAAGATGGATACGTCGTTGCCTGTTCGGGATAACGGACGAGGAAAAACCGACCGAGACCATTTACATGAAGATTTAATTGGAAGACGCTGTGCTTCTTTCCATACGCGGATGTAATTTCTTTCCATGACAGACAACAGTTAGAATTGCTGGCAATTGTATTCATCTGCCAAATATTCAGCCATTTGATCTCCACGTTCTGGATTTGTCGGTTGCTGCACTGCCCAATCGTCTATCGTTTGCTGTTGCATACCTTAGGTTTAGAACAACCCACTTCTGTAACTTAGCTCTAAAAATAACTATTTTGAGCAATGGTTTTTCATTCCAGGTGATTAGTTTGCTTT